AGTTAAAATGCAAACGTCTCTTTGGCCCTTACATCCCTTCACAAGCTTCCCTTTCCAGACATATTATACATTATCTCTTTCATACACTCTACAGTTCAGATCTACTGACTAATATCACCTCTTCTATTCAGATGTGTTTGAAAAGGCTGCCCCCTGAGCCTAGAACACTCTCCCATCTCACCTCTACCTCTTCAAAGGTGGAGTTCACCTTTACATTCAAAAGTGCACTCTTATGTGATACCTTTACCAATCTCCCCACCCTCTAGTGCCCCCCTCCAACTATCTTGCAGACCCTCGATCAAGAAGCAAGGCAAGTCAGTTAAGTCAATTGGCATTTATTCAGCACCTGCTATGGTCCAGCCACCATGGAAAACTGGAGATACAGAGTCAGGCAAAAAGTCCCTGCTCTCCAAGAGCTCACAGCCTAATGGAGAATACAACATGCAAACCAACAAGACATATTATACAGGATAAACTGGATGAAATCTCAGAGAGAAGGCACAAAGATTAAGGAGGACTAGGGAAGGCTTTTTGCAGAAGGTGGAATTTTAGCTAAACCTTGAAAGAGATCTGGGAAATGTAGGGAGAGTTCCAGGCATAGGAGACAGCCAGCAAAAATGCCCAGAGCTGGGGGGATGGAGTGTTCAAGGAATCAAAAAGAGACCAGTGTCAGTAGGGTAGGAGGGGTAGGGGTGGAATAAAGTATAAGAAGAGAGGAAAGGTAAGAAGGAGCCAGATCATAAGGGGCTTTCGCAGCCAAACAGAGGTTTTTTCACTTGATCCTGGGGTAATAGGGAGCCACCGGAGTTTATTGAGGAGGAGTATGACATGCTCACTTTGGCAGCTGAGTGGAAGATGTACTGGAGTGGGGAGAGACTGTAGGCAGGTAAACCAACCTATAGTCCAGGAATGAGGAGATGAGGAGCTGTGCCACTGATGCAGTATCAGAGGAGAGAAGGGGGGAATCTATGAGAGAAATTATGAAGGCAGCATGGTGTAGTAGATAGAACTGATCTTGGAGGCAGAAAGACCTGGGTTCAAGTCTTACCTTTGTTACATGCTGTCTATGTCACACTGGGCAAGTCACAATTTGTCATTTCCCCTGGCAACTCTCTAAATTTCAGAATAGGTTCCCTTTAATGGAGGGATTTTCCCCATTGGGAGTAGACTGTTCCTCATTGGGAGGAGACTGTTCCGATTTTTTTTTTTGAGGCAATTTGGGTTAAGTGATTTGCCCAGGGTCATGCAGCTAGTATGTGTCTGAGGCTGGATTTGAACTCAAGTCTTCCTGACTTCAGGGCCAGTGCTCTATCCACTGTGCCACCTAGCTGCCCCCCTCTATTTATCTTTGTATGCCCAACACTGAGTACAGTTCTTGGCATTTTATTAGCATTTGCTGATATGACTGAATACTCTATGTCTGGTTCAGGTGGTGGACAGGACCACCAGGGCTGGCAGCAGCCTCTGAGGCACAATTATAATGGCACCAGTCCTAACACTACCAATTACAGCTGGCAGGTCATGCAGATGTCACCCAAGTTGCTGAATGTCCTCACATGTGATGTCAGTGTTTAAATGTTCAGGGCTTGTATTGTTCAATACAGTACCTGGTATTCTTGTATTGCATTATTCAATACAATACCCCCGGGCCTTCGGTAGTAGTGTCAGAAGCCTACCCAGAAATCCTATTCAATAGCAACTCAATCTGAACCTCACCATCTCAGACTCATCCTTCCCACGAGCTGACCACCGACTCTGGGGCATGTGTTGAGGACAGTCCCAGCACACGAGAATACAGGACCATGTAAACCTGGAAGGGACCTTGGAGATCATCCCATCCACCTTCCTTCCCTTCCTCATTTTACAAATGAGGAAACTGAGGCTCAAGGCATTTAATCACTTTAATCACTTACCTACCCAAGGCCACGCAGGTAGTGTCAGAGGTGGGATGAATCACCCAGGTCCTCTGATTCCAGAGTCTATGTACTTTCTACCAAAAGAAAGGGAAATCAAGACACCACAATAGTTGTTCCATTCCAATCCCTTACCCAGCTGCCTTTCAAGAAGTCAGCCCACCAGTGGATCACACAAAACACAGAATGGGAGGGAAGAAAGTGTCCAGGTCACTCAAAACAACTATTGTTCCATTCCCCATGGAGGGCTTACCTAAGGTCTGCCCCTCTCTCATTAATGATGATGATGATAGGGGGCATTTGATTCATTCAATCAATAAACATTTATTAAGTCCTACTATGTGCCAAGCACCAAACTATGCACTGGGAATACAAAAAGAGGTAATATCTAATAATAATAGCTAATATTTATGTATCTATGTATTTATATATTTATGTATTTATATATAGTGCTTTGAGACTTGCAAATTACTTTCATAATTATTTTCTCGTTTTATCTTCACAACAATTTGAAGAGGTACGTGCTATTTTTTTTAAAATATTTTACAAATGAGGTATCTGAAGTAAACAGACGCCTTGCCCAAGGTCACAAAGCTAGTCTCTGAGGACAGATTTCAATGCCCAGCACTCTATCCACAGCCCCCCCCAAACAGCTTCACCTCAGCACATCAGGACGTCACATATTGTCTTGCAAAAACCCTGCTGGATAGGTACTACAGGTAATATTAACCTGAAGGGTTGACCCACATTTGAAACAGCTGTGGTTTATTCCAGGTTTTCTTTCCTTTTGTATTTGCCTAAATTATTCCCATCTTAGAGGTGCCAAAAGGAAAGGAAGTGTGTGTCTTGTGCAGCCTTGGGGGATTAACATAAATGGAGTTGACAAATTAAACAGAGTTGTCAAGAAGCTGGTGTGGTGTGCAATGTTGTGCTGCACAGGGCCATTTAAAACAAAGACAGTTGTCTACTTTATGGGAAACTCTCTAGAAGAGGCCCAGAAAGGGATGCCAGGAAAGCTTGCCTCACACTCCACACTGGCAATGACTTCAGAGCTGATGCGCTTGATCTTGGGGCCCCCGGACTCCCACCTATTACACCCACCTGTGCAAATTGTTAGTCAAGTATCAAAAGCTCTCCCTACTGTTCGCTTTCCTCTCTTAATGATTCTGACTTTGGGAAGGGCTGCTCTGTCTCCCCTTCTCCCCACCCCCAAGCCCATGCTCCCCACCACAAAAACTCTCGTGGCAAAAATAAAGCAGGGAACTCAGGCTTTGATAAGGACAACTCCTGAGGGTGGGAAATAGAGAGATTTCACATCTTTATAAGAATGGCTGCTCTCAGCCTCTCTGGCAGGTTAATGTAATAATGGGGCATCTTTATTTTAGAAACTATTCAGTAAGAATAATCCATAAGTAGAATGTGTGGTTCTTTGGGTCACACAAAGTTCCGAAGGAGACGAGAATCTAAATGGGATGAAGGTTGGACCATTTTGACAAAGTCATGAAATAATTTATAGTCATCATGAGATGGGGAGGTCCTGAAATTCTTAGTGCAAGTCTAAGCTTAAATCTGTATTTTCAACCCTGGACTACATAAGATTGGGCCTGGGAAGAGAAAAGGAGTCTGGAAACCACTGGGAATCTTGGGGAACCCAGGCCAGTTTGTTCTTAGATGCAGGGGTTGGAAGCCATTGGTACCCAGACAGTCCCAAGCTGTGGGTTTGTCAAGGTTCTGAAGGAAATCTTTGGATGTGGACCTACCTGCGCCCTCTGGTGGTGGACAGAGAAATTGTTCAGTAATGACAACAAGCCTACCTACAGTCCCACACTCTAATGCCAGACGTTTTCAAGGAGAGTAACACTCCTGGACCTTATGCAAACAAGCCCCAAAGCATGTTCCTGATTTTGTCCCCTGTCAACATATACCAGGAGATATCTAAGCGGCACAGTGGCTAGGATGTCGGCCTTGGAAGTCAGGAAGAGGCCTGAGTTTAAATTCAGCCTCAGAGACTTATAAGCTATGTGACCCTGGGCAAGTCACTTAACCTCTGCCTGCCTTAGTTTCCTCAACTGTAAAAGGAATTATAATAGCTCTTACCCTTGAGGGATGGAGAGAACTTGGAACTTAAAAATAAATTAAAAATTTAAAAATAACAATATCTCCCAGGGATCAAATTAGATATCTGTAAAAATAGTTCCTGTCACATAGCAGGTGCTATATAAATGCTAGCTACTATTACTATTTAACTAATTATTTATATATTTCTATTTTATCATATGTAGTTATATAATTTAATTAATTATTAACTAGGAACCTGAGCTGAATGTTCCTTCCCTATTTCAGATGAGGTAGTACAACCACTTATAAAACAGCCCCACCTGCTTTTTCACCTCTGGGTTACAGGAGCTGTTAGGCTAGCCTCTATGCCCATGCCCATGGCTTGATATTATTTCTTCTCTTCTATGAGGCTTGAATTGTTGAAGATACTTCCTAATGACTTGGAAGATTTTCCCAGCCAAGGAGTCATTCAGCCGTTGGAGGAGAGATCAAGTGTAGGACTTGACATATTCTTCTAAGCCAGGAGTTGTTAACCTTTTTGGTGTCATGGTCCCCTTTGTCAATCTGATGAAGCCCCACTTCTCAAAATAATGTTTATTGCCTTCATATTTGAAAGAAGTGCTAAGTTTCAGTTAAAGGTTAGTGAACATAAAGATGTTAAGTTTTCCAACCCAAATTTGTGAAGCCCCCAAAATCTGAGGATCTGAACTCTAGGTTAAAAACCTGTGTTCTAGGGTCTAACTCTGGGAAACTCAAAGAAATGTGTAAATGTACTTCCTTCCATCCTTTCTTCCTGTTTGGGGGCCCCGATAGAGAAAAGATAATATGATTTTACCAAAAGGGGAAACTGAGGCATAGAGACAATGAGGAGCTCACTAAAAGTTACAGCTTGCAATGACTAGTCTGGGAGATTCAAAAGATAAGTGAGGAAATCTATAGAAGCGAATTGGGGTGGGGGGGAAGTCTCCAGAAAACATACTATGACAACAAAAAATACCCACATCATAAATAATTTCAGACGTGTCAGGTTTATTTACCGGGTGATTTTTCTGGTTTTAAGCCATCCTTGGGGGCTAGGTTGCATTTCATATCTCCTCGGGGCTTATTATTGCCTTTGGACTGGACAGGAGAACCTGAGGCTCCCGGATGCTTCCCTTCTGGGTGTAAGAGTTTTGAGACCCGCTCCAGCTCGTCCAAGCTCATCCGTTGAAAACTCTTCTTGTTCTCTTCCTTTAGCTGGCTAAGCACTTTCTCTACATCTTGAGGGCTAAAATGTTTGGCCAGAATCTGGGTAAGCTGAGGCCACAGGGACCAGGACTGAGACAGAGACACAGACTAGGGCTGGGGCTGGGGCTGGGAAGGTCTCTCGGGGGAGGCCATCTCCAAGGGACGAAGGATCACATTGAGTGTAGAATTGGGTCCAATACAATAGTCAGAGAGACATTTGTTATCAGCCAGGACCTGGCCTCTGAAGAGCAGCCGCTGCTGTTCCTCTGGGACGTGAAGCTGTTTCGACACTAGCCGCTTTAACATAAATACTTTCTCATTCTCTGAGACTTGGAGCAAGCACCGCCGGCCAAAGAGAAGTTTGACGGTTAGCCACATTGTGGTTCAGGGAAGCAGCTGCCACTTGCCTAGATGGAGTCAGTTGACATACTCTGGAGCAAGGTAAGCCAGCAGCCCCAGGCCCTGACAGTCAAAAATGAAAAAGCAAGCCCAAAGTAACTGAAAAATAAGGGGCTGGGCCTGCGGGAGAGGAGCTGCTATTGGCTGACCTGCTTTGATATCACAATCCCCAAGAGGTCTCAGCGTTCCAGGGACGGACGTAGAGGGGTCACTCAACAGGATGATGGTGGTGAGACTGGGGAGGAGTAAACTGCAATATCTCTCACATCCGCACACTCGAAGGCTTTCCACACTCGAAGAAACCACCATAGTTCAGACCCCCATCTCTTCTCTCCTGGTTTGTTTTAATAGCCTCTGAAATGGTTTCACTGTATCCGGTGTCTGGCTTTTCTAATGATTCTTTTACACTAATGCCCATAATGCACTGCTCTCTCCTCAAACCCTCAGTAACTCCCCATTGCCTAGGGAATAAAGTATGGATTCTGTATCTTGGCATTCAAGACCTCTCCACAATTTGACTCCAATGTTGTCTTTTTCAGTCTTATTCCCAACTTCCCCCTTCGTGTACATTTTGTTCTAACCAAATGTTCCATTTTCTGTGCCTTTTGCTCCTGAATTCCCCCATGTCTTACATGGCCTTTTCCTCCCCGTCTGACCAATCTTCACCTACAAAATTCCTCTCTTCTTTCAAGACCCAACTCCAGTGTCCTTCCTGCCTTGCCACCAACACCCCACCCATTCCATAGGTTGTAAGCCCTTCCAGAGCAAGATCCACAGCATCTGCTTGCATTCCTAAGACCTGGCACAGAACTTTTCTATCCACAAGACACCCTTCCTATCCACTAGCCCAATATCCTTCAGCAGGATCAAGAGCTGAGAAATCCCATGTTACCCGGCACCTATTCACCCCACCTTACTAAGTGGAAGTGCCAAAATCTCTCTCTCTCTCTCTCTGTCTCTCTGTCTCTCTCTCTGTCTCTCTCTTTTTCTCTCTGTCTCTCTCTTTCTCTCTGTCTCTCTCTGTCTCTCTGTCTCTGTCTCTGTCTCTCTCTCTCTCTCTGTGTCTCTCTCTGTCCCTCTCTCTCTCCTGCTCCCTCTCTGGTTGGCTGTGTAGTTCCATCTTTCCATTTGCCCAATTAGAATTAGCTCTTGAACTGCCATCCTTCTGATGAAAGCGTGAACTTTCTATGTTTCACCGTGCCCTCGTTACATGATCTTGATATAATGGAGTCACTTCCCCGTGGGAAGAGACAGAGGGCATGCTTAACTGTATATGGTATTTTATCCATGACCTAGAATGAAGGAATACAAGCAACGAAACATCTCCTGCATGACCATCTGCTCGCAGCTTCCTCTAAACACAGGCAGCTCCAAAACAATACATAGACCCTCCAAATCCTTGGAAGACACCATTGGTTTATTTAGTTCTATATAGCTGCTTTTCCTCTAAGTGGTCAAAGGAGCATGGAAAACATATGCTTATTGACAGGTTTGATTTCCCTTCCCAGCAGGCTGTGGGGATTAAAATTATCCAGCCTACAATAAAAGAGACTGAGGCAGAGCTCTGAGCTGATGGCACTTATTAAAGGGTCCATGATCCCCTTAATGAAGTAAACCTCAGATCTTCCTCACGAGCTGAGATGTCCCCTTCTTCTAGGACTTTGTTTTTATAGGGCCTGATACCCAAATATGCAAAAGAGGCATGGTAAAATACAGAATCTCATTGATTGATCGACCTTGCTCTTAAGGGCCAAAAATGATATATCAGCAGGAAGGGGGAGGGGGTCACAGGTTGGATGAAGCATGGGGCATCTCCACTGACTGAGTGGTCATAAGACGGTCATAAGATAGTCACCTGTTCATGTTGGACAAGAGAGAAAAGTCCAGAGGTACAAAAATAATCTTGGGGACTTTCCAAAACATCTAGGCATCCCACTCATGCTGGATTTGGACATGAAATTTGAGTAAAACAAAATGGAGATATCTCTGTCGGAATTCTTGTGGTTGTGCAAGTGAGTTTTGTAACTGGTAGACAAGTAGTGAACATTATTACATTAAAGTTTGAGGCCTACTATAAGAATCTATCTACCCCTATATGATTTTTGTAAAATATCAAACTGGTTGATACTGATGGGTATAGAGCAGGGGTCGAAATGCATTATTTCTCACAAGATGCTGTAACTTCAGGCTCAGCTCTTGGTTCCTTGAGATGCTGGGTCCTGGACTCAGGACCTCTCCCTGACTGAAGTTCTTGACCACCAGTGTTCTTTGGTTGGGAGTCCTGTGTCTGGAAGGGACCTGCAGCTGTTTCTCACTATAGCCACTTTATTATTGACAGAACAGGAGGAGACTCAGCAGGAGGCCCCAGTAAAGAGAACCCAGAAGCTGCCATGCTACCATGGCACCTCTCTTGCCTTAAGCCTTTCTGTTCTGTTGTTTCCAGGACCTGAGAGCTACATACAATCATCCTAGGTCCACTGGTCTCCTCCATCCTAGGTCTCCTCTATAGACAGAGCCAACAGGGCCTCTGTTAGACTACCAGGGAAACCTGCGGCCTCGAGGCCACTATGGATTCAATCAATGGGCCGCACTTGAGGACCTAGAGGGTCACATGTGGCCTCGAGGCCACAGGTTCCCCACCTCTGGACTACACTGTTATAACACACAACTAGGAAGCACAACAGATAGGGTACTGGGCTAAGAGTCAGGAAGACCTGAGTTCAAATCCAGCCTAGACACTTACTAGCTGTGTGACCCTGCGTAGGTCACTTTACCTCTGTCTGCTTCTGTTTCCTCATCTCTAAAATGGGGATAATAATAGCACCTACTTCCCAAAGTGGTTATGAGGCCCAAATGAAATAATATTTGTAAAGTGCTTAGACAGTATCTGGAATGTAGTAGGTACCGAATAAACGCTAGCTATTCTTGTTATTAATAAATGTTTATTGCACTGAAAAAGAATATCGATGTGCGGAGAGAAAAGGCAAAGAGATAGTGAGGGTAAGGAAGGAAAAACAAGGAAGAAGAAAAGATAGTATGGGGAAAAGAGGAGGTAGGGAAAGTAGTAAAGGGGAAAGGGAGGTCCTGTGATGGGATTGGGTGAGGCCTCAAGGAAAGGTCATGAAGAGAAGGAAGCAGAACAGTCAAGGGACCTGCTCTGAATTCCCCCTCCATGCAGGGCTCGATGCTGGGTGCGCTGGCCAGTGAGTAGGTTTATAGATTGAGAGCTGGAAAAGATGGGCCTGAGAGGTCATTGGGCACAACTCTCTGTTGTGAAGAACACAACCCATGAGAAAACCAAGGCTGAGAGTGAAATGACTAGCCCTGGGTCACAAAAGGAGTAATTGTCTGAGGTAGGATTCGAACCTCACTCTTCCTAACTTCAAATTCATCACTGTATCAATTGCACCGTCCAGCTGCCAAAGTCAACTTACTATCAGTGTAGTCAATACCTTAGCTGTTCCTTCCATCCCCATCCTGCCTTTACCTAGGAGTTATATGCAACACATGACTTCTTCTAGAGCTCCTCTCTACCATAGGTGTGGTTGGACCCTTTGCTTCCAGATTACCATCAGCTCCTTTTCACCTTTGGCTGTCAGGATGTGAGTCTTGGCATGAGTATGGCTAGGATAATTTGATTTGAATAATCATATACAGTTATATCAAAGAGATTTTTTGGGATTTGGAAGATATAATTCGGAAAAAAATCAGAGTGCTTCTAAACAAACAAGAATTGCTTGCTCAGGCAGAAAACACTCCTCCCTGTCTGAGAGAGAAAAACTATTAAAATGTAAAGTCACTTTACTAAAACCTGGTATTGGTGGCTGGGATGTTCTTGGAGACAGAGAATGGCGGCACACTCTCGGAAACCTTTTGTGAGGGCGAGTTCAGCAAAAGAATTACAAAAGCTGAATAAAAGACTCATGAGATAGCTCTTGTTACATACTATAGAGTAGCACAGTGGAAAGTATGCTGTGTTTGGAGCCACAGTCCCACATCCTATGGGTTCGAATCCAGTCCCTGCTAATGATTATCTTTATGACCATGGGCAGGTCACTTGAAGTCAAAGGCCAAAGTTTTCATGTGAAAAATGAAAGAGTTGGTCTAGGTGGCTTCCTAAGATCCCTTTCCAGCTCTAAATCTATGTTCCTGTGATGAAGGGAGAACAGTGACTCCTCAGAGGTCTTCCTCCTTTGCACTCAGTGAATAGGAGACCAAGAAAGGTTTATTACAGCATCTTTCCCCCCCTCAAGAATAGGATTGTGTTGCCTATTGGGAGCTGCATGGAGCTACAGGAGTCAGGATGGAGAGATCTGGGATGCCATCTTCTGGGAGCTGGGGAGAGTTAGATGAGGAGCCAAAAGATGCCCAATGCCCCTAGAGCAGCTGGCTGAGGAATTCCAGAAAGCAATGCCCACTGGGAGCCCTGACTATTCCTTCCATTCTCCCTCCCTCCTCTCCCTGTCTCTCTCTCTCCCCCTCCTTTCCCCCCTCTCCTTGTCTCTGTCTCTCTCTCTCTCCCTCCTCTCTTTCCCTCTCCCCCCTCTCCGTCCTTCCATTCTCTCTCTCACTCTCTCTCTCTCTCTCTCTCTCTCTCTCTCTCTCTCTCTCTCTCTCTCTCTCTCTCTCTCTCTCTCTCTCTCTCCTCTTCTTCCTGTTCTGTATTTTAACCTTTTCATTTCTATTTGAGTTTCTGTCAGTCTAGCTGACCAATCTCAAGACATGTGGTCACTGAGCTATACTGGAAGCATCTGCTAATGGCAGCTCTTAGAAAATGCAATGCAGAGAAAACCGGGATCCTGTCTATTTGTATACACTCCTTACACAAGCATTTCCATATTGTTTATTCCTCCTCTGAATAAAATAGTATTTTATCCCTAGTATTATAAATAAAATAGTATTTTTATCCCTAGTATTATAAATTGCGTGTTTCTGAAGAGTCAGTCTCGGCATCCTGGGGGAAAGGAGAGCAGGCATAC